TCACCTGTCATTGCCAACCTCTATATGGAATACTTTGAAACCCAAGCTCTGGAAAAATCTGATCACAAACCTAAACTCTGGCTCAGATATGTGGACGACACCTTCATAATCTGGCCACATGGGAAAGAAAAACTGGACAACTTCCTCACACACCTCAACAGCCTACACCCCAAAATACAGTTCACCATGGAAACAGAAGCGAACAACCAACTTCCCTTCCTGGATGTCTTAGTCTACAGAAAATCCAATGGCTCCCTAGGACACACTATCTACCAGAAGAAAACACACACAAACCGCTATCTGCACGCACTCTCACACCACCACCCTGCCCAGATCAACTCTGTAGCCAAGACACTCATTTCCAGAACAAAACGCTTAGCTGACGAACAACACCTAAAAACCGAACTACACACTCTCACTAACGTACTAACATCCAATGGATTCCAAAGAAATAAGATCACCAACCTAATCCAAAAAGAAACCCCCACTAAAATCCAAGACAGAGAACAAGAAAACGGCAAAGCCCTCCTCCCATACATAAAAGGCACCACAGACAGAATAAGCAAAATCCTCCACAAACATAACATCAAGACAGCATTCTGCACAAACCGAAAAATATCCACCATCCTAAGGAACCCCAAAGACAAAATTGAGTTAGAAAATCAAGGAGTATATGAAATCCCATGCACCGCCTGCCCCACCACATACATCGGACAAACCAACAGACGAATAAGTGCACGCATAGAAGAACACAAGAACTCAGTCAGAAAAGAGGAACCAACTTCTTCCCTGGTCCAACACCTTAAAGCCACAGGACATGATATTGACTTTAAAAAGACCAGAACTATCGCCAAAACTGAGCACTTTAACAACAGAATAATCAGAGAAGCCATCGAGATAGAAAAACGCCCACACAGCATGAACAAACGAGACGATACCTCCCGCCTACCAGCCATTTGGAAACCCGCCCTTATTGACAAACGAGTCCCTAACACGACGAATGACACCAGACCCACACTCACGAGAGCCACACAGGATGTCACCATCACACATCCACGCAGAAAACAGACTCAAACCCACACTGATAATGAGCCACGACCAAGGACCAGAAGCCAGACCGCAGCTGCATCATTAGCCACTTTAAACCCCTCCAATCCATACATGAAGCAGACTGACACCCACCATGAAGAGCTCGCACGGCCACAAACACGAAGCCAAACAACAACAACGCAGCTCACCAGCTCAAATCCCCCTGCAACTCAGACTAAGCTGAGTACAACCAAGCCCCCACCCAAACAGAACACACCCCCAGCCAATCAGAGCACAACCAACCCCCCATCCAATCAGAGCACAGCCAAGCCCCTAACCAATCAGAACACACCTCCACCCAATCAGAACACAGCCAAGTTCCCACCCAATCAGCTCACACCCCCACTAGCAGTTAAAAGGAAGAGACAGCTGCGATCTCACATTGCTCCTGGAAGCACGAAGCCGAGAACACCAGCCTGAAGATGACGAATGAGACTTCGTCGAAACGTCGCCAAGACACTTCCAATTTTACGTGGGAGAAGACCCGAATAACCAAAGACCTATATATATATGTATGTATGTATGTATGTATGTATGTATGTATGTATGTATGTATATTCTTCAGCATTTACTAAGCTAGAGTCAAGATGCATTTACTGCAGCATGCCCTTTTTACCATATATCTGTCCATGTGGAGAGAAATTCCAATTTGATAGAACACACAATTTTTTAAAAAATAATCTGTCTGAAATTTGTGGTTAACTGTATCCTTTTTTGTAATGGAATCCTATACATATTTAGTCCCATATAATTACCAGCTAATTAAATCCTATTTAACTTAATGAGAAGCATTCCTGAATTTATATTAAATAGGCACATTTACAAATTTGATAATATTGGTATATTTTCATGCCCTTGACTGCTTTTACCATCCATGATTGATATATGAAGTACTGATAGGAGGAGGAGGAGTAGAAAATTTACCTCATCTTTCTGTTTTAGAAATACTTTTAAAAATAATATAGGGAAGCTAAATAGGAATAAATACAATATGTTATTGTTCCTCTGACTAGTAGCTTTGTCCTTGTAGATCTGAAGTAGGAAGTGTTGTTATTGATAAAGGACAGCTGTCTTCTGGTCCTGATGAATGTCGTGGCTATATCTCAGGCCGTCCAATACAAACTCCTGAGCAGTAAGTAAATTGATAAATAAATTGTATTTTAATCAACAGATTATATACAAACATAATTTAAAAAGCAAAAACAACACTATTCAGACTTGAATCAGCTGGTTTCCTCGTTTTCATTGTAGCAAGGTAAAAATTAGCTTGCTAGCTGAGAGAAAAAGGTTCACATAATAATTATATGGAAGTTGTTTCTCAACAGCTTCTGCTCTCTGCACTGCTAGCAGTAGAGAATATTTTATTCTGCCTAGCCTTAGGCAAATCATATTCACCATCTCAACACCTTCCTAATTTACTACATAAAGATTATTACTTTATTAGAAATATTATATACTATTATCCTAGTGCTTACTGTCCTACTTTACAAGGGTCACAAAATCCAATTATTGATATTTTTAGTATATCGCTTTTATGATGATAGGTTTATGGCTTATTCCCTCTTCTAAAATTAGCCAAACAACTTCCAGTATCCAGGGCACAGGGTAGGATTAGAAGAGAGAAAGATGCTGCCCTATTTTTTAATTTTTTTTTTCATTTTGCTAAGTTTTACCAGCCATGTAATTCCTTCACAGTGATGAACAAATGCAAGGAGCAGCCTTAGGCCGCAAGGATTTCTGGCGGAAAATGTTTAAATCTCAGAGTGCAGCTAGCGATACCAGCAGCCAGTCGGAGCCAGACACTTCCGAATGCACAACTGCACACTCAGGAACGACCACAGAGAGGCGCTCCCGCTCCCGCTCCAGACGGATCTCCCTGAGAAAGAAACTCAAACTCCCACTAGGTCATTCAATTATTGATTTGTTAGCTGTGCTTTTTCTCCAGGAGCATGTAGGGATTTATTTTCTTCTTTAATCCCATAACTTCAGCAATGAAAGCGACAGAGATTGGCCCAAAGTCATCCAACCAGATTCCATAGTTGAGGGCAGACTTGAACATGGATCTCTATTAATTCTCTCCCACACAGGGAGCCTTTTACATGAAGATACTTTGTCATGCTATTCTGTGTCTTTTAATTTTTCCCCATGTTCCTTTATATGACTCCAAATATTTTGTTTAGATGTTAGGAATTGAGTTTTTAATACCAGTAATGAGAGATGTAGATTATTTAACTACTCAGAAAGATATTCACACCTATGCTTTCTGTACTACAGGGAACTGGCTGAAACGTTCATCAATTTCTGGTCTGGCAGATGGTGTAGAAGATCTTCTGGATATTAGCTCTGTGGATCGTCTCTCTTTCATCAGGCAGAGCTCCAGGGTAAATATCTAACCTTTCTATCATCACTCTTTTTAAAAAAAAATAAAAGCTATCTAATAATGAATGTGCATGTTTATTTTTCTGTGTATCCATACCTATATCTTCAACATCTACAGTATATTTCTTTCTTCCTGGACTGAAATTGTCACTGCATATTGTTTCTAAATCTGTGGACTCTTACAAGTATTATCTGTCTTCCATTTTAAAGAAATTACTAGGACCATGCAAGCTTTTACTTTCATTTCTCCTTTTTCACGTCTTCTTTCACATACACATACACAGACTCATCAATACAACAAGGAGAGCAGAAGAATTGTTTCCAAATTTGTGTCATACTCTCAGTAGAGCTGCACAATACATTTCAACAAAGGGAAGGACACTTCCTTTTGAAGGGGGAAAAATAACTCAACCAACCAGCCAACTGCAGACTTCTATTTTTAACATACATACAACATGTACAAACCTATTATTAAGTGGCTAAGTATAACAAAACAAAAACAAATCAGTGAGAATATCAAGCCCCTGCCATTCCAATGCTATTTTAATTATCCTATAAAAGAGATTTGAAAAGGCCACAGACTAGGAAATAGTCTGGAAAATAGAAAAGAGCAATAGGTTGCTATATATCTGTGATGTTTGCATGCAAATAAAATTGGGCCATGGGCCTAAAATAGATTGGAAAGGGAAAAATATATAGCCCAATTGATTATATACTCCAGAATAATAGGGACACAAACAACTTCTCTTCCCAATTTGTCAGGTCTAATTGGAAAATACTGTGGGCACAAATTCAATTTTCTGCTTTTAAATGCCAATTTAAAATATGTGAAAGCTTCAGGTTATTGAGCATCAGAGAGCATATCACCCAGGGACAAAAACAAAGTTAACAGAAGTTAACTGGACTTTAGAGTTTTGACTCTTACTGTAGGTTCTAGAGCTAAAAGAATTTGGTACAAGAACAAATAATTTTAAAACAAAATTTCTCATCAAAACCAAACTAAGCCGAAGAAAATAAAAATGTGGAGAAAGAGGAGGGCTGAAAAAAGGAGAGTGGAACTACCACATCTAAAAAATTGTGCAGAAGGCTTTAAACATGGTTAAATGGTTGGAATTGAGCTACATCTTCAGTTGCATTTCTCAAGCATTTTAATTTCCCTTCATTATTCTTCACATTGCCAGATTATTGTAAACTGCAAGGAACCCAAATATGAAAACATGGGTTTATAGGTTTTATTGTTTTATTGGACCTAAACTTTGCTTTACTAGAAACTAAAACTTTCTTCCTGAATGAGGATTTTTCTGAACAAGCAAAGCAATAAAGTAATTCAAAAAATAATGGAGCTCATAAAGTATTTCTACAGGCAGAGAAAATGAGGCCACTAACCAGCTGTCTTAGCCCACTGCTTATCTCTCTCTTCAGTGACTAGTTTTCCTTAGAAGTCATGAGGTAGAAGAATAGACATATTAAGCACTAAGGAGAGAGGAGGGAGGGAGGGGAAGGAAGGAAGATAGGTTATTTTGTTCCTGTTTCCTGCTTATTCAACTGTGATTCCCTCAACATGGTTCTCTTTATGGAGATATGGTATTTAAAATATAACTAATAAAGGCGAATATTTATTAAAAAGGATATTTTAAAATGTTATGTTTATATCAGCAATGAAAAACAATGAAATGATGTTTCTTTTAACATTTAGGTGAAATTTACTAGTGCAGTGAAGTTAGCAGAAGGTGGGCCTGGAAGTGGCATGGAAAATGGGCGTGAAGAAGAGGATAATTTCTTCAAGCGTCTTGGTAAATGGCGCACCTGCCGAAGACATCCATCCAGGCTTCATCACACAGAAGAAAAAGATGGTTAGAAATCAGGGTTCTGTTTCTTCAGTCCTTTTTTAAAACTTCAAACTTTTTCTTTGTTCCTTTTTTTTAATTATAATTTTCATCTTTCTTTATTTCACTCTTTACCTTTAAAAACATATTTTCTGGACCCAATTTTATATTCTATGGCTTTATATATTTTGTAGCCATTACTTTTTTCATTTCTTCTTATGTCATTTTTTATTTTCATTCAATTCTAGCCAAGAAGGAAAAGCATATATGGGCCAATGCATTTAGATAAGGCAAAATTGACCTTTCAAGAAATCAAATCCACCATTTGGAAAATATGAAATTTGGAACAGATTATCTGGTTCAAACATAGTATACTAATATTTCACTTAGCTCCTTGATGTGAAATGTTGGATGTGCCCACCAGCTTTTATTCCCCATTATTGATCATCTATATTTTCAGTAAAATTCAGCACTGATGAAATGGAAAACCCTGTACAAATGTGTTTTAATTATCTCTTTTCTTCTGTGTTTGCTTGTCTTGTGTCTTCATGCCATTTCTTATAGAGATGCGGTCCTTCATTCCTAGCAAAATTATGAGTGACATTGAGAACAATTATATGACAAATATGACTGATTACTTTGTTATTTTTAAGGAAACAAGTTTTTGCCTCCAAACAAGGTTAGGTCTTAACTGCTTTCAAATATTTCAGATATGCGTATTCGAGCTTCTCGTTACCAAAGAAACAACCTTGCATTTTGTTATTTTCCTGTTTTTGCATTGAAAAAGGGACAAAGCATCCCAATGGATTTAGTTGTCTTTTTCACAGAACTTTACATAACCCAACATTACATATTGCTTATGCTTCATTAAACATGGAAGTGATGTCACTACCTCATTTAGTCATTGCTCCATCATAAAATGCCTTTCTATATAAAGAAAATGATGTTTCAGATGAAGACATATGACATATGATTATTAGTATATCTTAATATGTTAATAGAAGTATTTGGGCTCTTTCTAATTACAGCTATTTCTGGGTATCTTTCCATACAGGTACCCAGTAGAATAATTTACTTTTTTCCCCACAATTTAATAGCACATCCTAATGCTATTATAAGCAATGAGATTTGAATATTTTTGCAGTTTCAATGAAAAATGTTAGGTGGTTTTTAGGCAGGGAATGAATGCATATTATAATTCATATCATGATTACTTTGTTAAAGTCAAGCATGACTGCAGGATATGATGTAACAGACCTCGTATTTCAATTTGAGATATTATTTCAAATAGAAATGTTTTTATTTCAACTTTTATTTCATTGAATTTTTTACATTGTACAAAAACTGTCAGTTTTTAACATGAACCGGCTTATCCAATAGTGATGAAAATACCACTTTGTTTGGCTTTTGATTATGTGACAATATGTGATAATAGGAGTTAATGGATTAATTGACTTCACTTGAGTTAATTGAGTTCACAACTCAACTCAATAGCATGCAATATAAAGATCTTACTGATGTGCCAAGGAGTAACTTGTTTTAAAATAAAATGTAGAGGGAATACATATACTATGCAAACTTTCTTAGGTTAAGTTCAGCTCAGCATGGCAGAATATGAGTAACCCCAGGACTGCAGCCTTGATTATAAAATGAAATTACCATATTTTTTGGACTATAAGACACACTTTCCCCACCCCAAAAGTGGGTGGAAATGTCTGTGCGTCTTATAGAGCAAATATTGCTTGGGAGGGGTTGGTACAGCACCGATCAGCTGTTCTAGGCAGCGGGGACCGCCACCACCTATCGCCACGGCCCATTTGCCACCACCTGTTTGCCATTGATTGCGGCGAATGGGCGTCTGTAAATGGGCATCTGTGAACGGGCGGTGGCGAATGGGCCATGGTGAGTGGGTGGCGGTGAATAGGCCACAGCAAATGGGCCGTGGTGAACAGGCTGCAGCGGTGGTGAAAGGCTGCAGTGGTGGTGAACCAGCCATAGAGGCGGCAAACAGGCTGCAGTGAATGGGCTGCGGCAGTGAGGACGCTAGCCAGAAGAATACTGGATGGATGCTGGGATGCAGAGGCAGATTTTTTTCTCTTGTTTTCCTCCTCTAAAGCTAATGTGCGTTTTATAATCCGGAGTGTTTTATAGTCCAAAAATATGGTACTCTTACTCAATTTTACTCAAATGTTAGCTCATAAGTACAGTAATTATAGTACAGAAAACTGAAAAAAACCAAGCAACCCCAGGAATGCGTTGCCAGGGGTTGAACAGGGCTATGGCCAAAATTCAAGATGTTCACCACAAAAGTGCAATTGATGTTCTGCTTTTTTATGTGTGTTGCATGTACAAAAGCATTGATGCTTCCATTGCAACACTATGGCTGACATCTTGACTTTTTTGAACCTACCCTGCAGATAACCCTTGTTAGGGAGTTCACTTGGAGGAGTTTGAGGTGGAGTCCCTAACAAATTTTCTGACAAATAAAGAATGAAGTTGAACTTGGGTAACAAAGAGAGCAGGAGGGAGAGATGGAGGGAGGGAGGGAGGGAGGGAGGGAGGGAGGGAGGGAGGGAAGGAAGGAAGGAAGGAAGGAAGGACGGAAGGAAGGAAGGAAGGAAGGAAGGAAGGAAGGAAGGAAGGAAGGAAGGAAGGAAGGAAAGCCTTTACTGTAAACTAAAGTGGGCAGGTTTCGTGCTGTAGGTGGCTGCACTAACTGAATGAATTGCTGATGATTTGGCCAAACCCAGTTCTGGAGAACTGATGAAATGCTAGATGACTGAAGAAAAACAAATGTCCATATTTTCACAAAGGGGGAAGGGGAATATTACAAAAAATTTAACATAAATGCCTGGGAAGATTGTAGAGCATATCAATCCACAAGCATCTTGAAACCAATGCAGTAATTACTAGAAATAAGCAAATGTTTGTCAAGAACAAATCTTGCCATACAAATTTTATTTCATTTTAAACAGAAATTAAGCAGCCTTCTTAAAATATTGTGGAAATCTATAGTTAAAATTTACTTTGAGCAAAGCATTTATCAAATGCTTTCAGCAAAGCATTTGATAAAGTACTGAGGATGTAACCACCTGAAGATGTATCACAAGCATGACCTGAATAAAATGATAATGACATGGATACATAGTTCTCTTGAAAACTGTATTCAAAGTGTCTATTGTCCTTTGTCAGATTAAAAAGCGATGAGCTGCTGCAAAGATCAGTCCTCTACTTTTTATACTTTCATTAATGATAAAGGAGAAGAAGCTTTTATTAGATGTGCAAATAATATAAAGTTGGAAGGAATTAACAATAAATCAGAAAAGATTATTGAGGGAGATATGATAGCATTCAATGTTTTTAAATAGAGAATGGCTATCTGCCTGGAATGCTTACATTTTGATTCCTGTATTGAACAGGAAGGTTGCCTTTTCTAGTTTTATGATTGTATGAATCAGTTATACAGGAAATAACACAGAAAACAAGACTTACCCAAGTTGAGTTCTTTTTATAGATTACAAATTTTGACTCATCACTGAACATGGATATTAGCTTTTGTTAATATTTTTCTTTTCTGTTTTATATGTGTGATGGTTTGTTGTGACTTTGTCTTATTCCCTCATGCTTCCTGAGATGGATCTTTCTGTTTTAAAATATTCTGACTAGTCAAAAAGTTGAATTTAATAAGTGCAAACTTTTACACAAAGTGAAGCTATTTTCTTAAGCATTAAATCATTTCTCTGTTATAATGATCAGTTACGATTGTACCATCCAGATATATTTATTAATTATGCATGTCTTCTGTTTTTCCATAAAGGATCTTAAGTTTGGTACATGTCGTTCTTCATTTTAATACCAGCCATGCAATTTAGGTTATCTTCAAAGGTGACATAATCATGACCATTCATAAATCCAGAGAATATGGGCTCAGGTTTCAAGCTGACTCCTGACCACAACATGCAACTTCTTTGAACATCCTCATAATACCTCTTCTTGATAACCTGTGAACTTCCTGTACATTTAGCAACACTTCTCTCATTCACTTCTCTCATTCACTAAGCACAATGTCCCAAGAGTAGATTAAACATAATTCATTTGTGGAAAGTTTTAAAACCAGTATTTTTACCCACTGTGATGAACTTTGGTCCAATGCACTTTTGCATAAACCTTACCCATTTTTTCTGCTACTAGATAAGAGGAAAATATCATGTCCTAAAGACTTCCTAGAGTTTGTTGCAGTCATAGATACTCTGAATATATGCCTCTCTCATTCTGTCACACTTGATGCTCAAGGACAGGGCAGATCAATAGGAGACATTTGCTTCAGAATTGTCAGTAGACCCAATGAATGTTTAAACATCCATGGGGGCTTTCTCTTTCCCCTCTCTCCCATCCTCCCTTTTGGATTTTCTTTTAAGGTTGCCAGACTTATGAAGATCATCTGGCTTCCAACCAAGAGGGAAACAAATGCAAGAACGTGGTGAATTTGGGAGCCATTCGACAAGGCATGAAGCGGTTTCAATTTCTCTTAAACTGCTGTGAACCAGGAACAATCCCTGATGCTTCTATTCTTGCAGCTGCTCTTGATCTTGTAAGTCTCTATGCACTCATTCTGTTTGTAATACTGAAGACTCTGGCTTGTGTTGGAGTATGGTAACTGCTGGGAGAGAGAAAACAACTAGAAAAGGATAGGAATACTAATGCTAAGCACAATGACTAATAAATTATTTTTTATCCATCTGTAATTATGTCTTTCATTTTATTTGGATTTATGCTGTGCCTAATGAAAACAATTCTTTTCTTATCCAAGCTCCACTTGTCACAACTCAATTTACTAAGCCTCTTATACACTTATGTAATTTATAACTCTGACTACAGTAATTCCACAGAGTTCAGAGTTCAGTTGATGTTATCAATAATTAACACAAACCATAGCTATGAGCCTCATAGCCTTATTCTCTGGAAGGTAAAGGGATAGCAATTTGAGGAAGTCTTCACTATATTCTGCTTTATGAGTTATTTAAAGCCTGGGATTTGTAGATCCAAAAACTAAGTAATCCATATCCCGCATAGATTGGAATCGAATGAATCATTGTGCAAGCTACTTTTTGCTATTCTCTCATCTCATCCACCATTAATGCTCCTCCCCAATTGCTGATTTTACAGTGATTGCCATTTAATATAGAATTTTGATGTTTAAAACCTTTGGTGTTGCATGATATATTTTTGTAAGTAATTCTACCTATGCAGACATGTTCCCAATCACTAGGATCCTCAAGTCAGTAGTTCCTCAGGGATACTTTTTGACTTATTTCTCAAGTTCTATTATAGTTAAATTTAGTTCATTTGGGAAGACATTGGGAAAATAAGGTATGGATTTTCTCTTTTGTACCCCCATTCCTCCTGACTGTGCTTTTATTGTCTTCTGTGTAATCTTACATCTCAAGACGTTGCAGTAAATATTGGAGGCTGTAGTATAGAGTAGTAATATAGACATGCTGGCATGTCACAACCCTTCCCCCTAAACAAAAGAGAAACCATTCTCTATCTCTCCCCCCCTACCCCACACCCCACCCCCTAATTTAGGCCATCCTGAATAGCACTGGAGGCTGGGCCTGAAGTTGAGGCCTAAAACCAGTACTGCCACTCAAAAAGCTTGCCTCAGAGTATTCTGGGAGACATTTTGGTTAAGGCACCAGACTAGAAAATGGGAGAGGGTGAATTCTAGTCCCACTTTAGGCATGAAAGGTAGCTGGCTGACCTTGAGCCAGTCACAGAATGGTTGTTTCAGGAAAATAGGAGGAGGGAGGAATATTAGGTATGATATTCCCTAACTTGAGTTATTTAGAAAAATAGGCTAATAAACAAACAAACAAACAAACAAACAAACAAACAAATAAATATCTCCCTGAGGCACATGAGCCTCAGGATCTGCTGTAGACCACTTACCTTCAGGCAGTCTTCTCTTTCTGTTGACAGGCCTCTGCGGCCCACCAGAGGCGCTTCTGGATCAAATGAGGCCTTTGTTCTTGAAGGGGAACTGTGTAATCTCCAAAAACTACACAAAAGCATACCCCATTCTCGTCAATTTTCAAAGGCTCCAGAGATTATGCAAGAGCACAGCCCATTCTCCTGCAGCCTTCACAGCCTTCAAAAATCATGTGAGAATGAGGCATGCTTTCTAGAGTAGTTGTTGGGTGGCATGTCATCTTTGACACTTGTCATAGATTCACCATATTCTCTGGACAATTGTGAATTCTCTGGACATTCAGTCCCTTCGTTTGAGGAAAGCAACTAGACTTTCCTTCTCTCTTTCTCTGCCTTAATTTGATGTTGTCTTTACATGTGGACAGCCATTAAAAAAAAAAAAGCACACCAATATCTATAGAAGAGTTTCCAGAAGATTCACCAAGGAAACCCTCTGCAAGTCTCCTGGTATGAAAACCTCCCCACCCACATTTTTGATTACTTTATATTTTTCTTAGAGAATATTTTTTTTCTGATTTAGAACCTTGTTTTTCAGTGCCTAGGAGAATGTTCATCAATAGGAGCCTCATTGGGTCAACCACCCACTCTATGAAGAAACAATAGCAATTATTTGTGAGGGGCAAGGGGAGATCTACATGTCTAATCCCTCTCCTTGCATGTACAGGGGACATCTTACAAGAGGGCTAGTGCTTAAGTGAAATCCTTATGAACAATACCACTTCTGGGATATTGGTATCCCTGGTCACATTATGTTTGTTCTTTCTTTCTGCAATGCAGAATAAGAGGTTCCATATAATAAGAGGTTCCATTCTTATCCATATACCTAGGAAATGTCAGCAGGAGGAATTCAGACCTCCTGGCTTTCAAGGGAACATGTTACATAGGGAGACAAAATATCTGTTTCCCAGAGTCCAAGTCCTTGTGTTTTCTCTGTAAGCACTTTCTGTGGGATTCCTATATCCACCCAGAAGGCTGCTTGTTTCATTCCAAGCTGATTCTCATTAACTCCAATGAATGCTACAATTCTCTCAGGAACTATATAAGGCCACATATTCTGAAGCATGAATTGCAAATTAACTTTAACTTTCCTAATGACAATCAACTCTTCCCCCCTCCCTAAATTTTGAAGTTTTTTTCTATCCTTTGATCTACATGTTCAATTCATTATTCAGAAACGTTTTGCCATTATATGAAGCTGTCAAAGAAAATGGTGATTTTTATGTTGTTATTGTTGTTTTCACCGTCTTTAAACTACATTGTACAAATACTGTAATAGCAGCAGGAGGCAGCTATATAAACAAATTATGAGGAAAATGTGCATCTTATTTTGAATTTTGCACCCATGCATTGCTTTGTTTCTGTGGACAATGAAAGTGGTAACTTATGGTTCTTTTCAGCTATGCAGCTTGTGGCTAATTCATTTCTCTTCATTTGTGATGTGTTTCTCTGTGGTGTGAATTCATCCTTATCCATTCTGTCAAACATCTTCATCTTTCTCTTGCTGCTTCTTCAGATTGCTCTGGGCATAAGGTAAGCTACTGCAATGCCTTTGCATAATGTTCTGAGATTCAGCATGTTGACTCTAAGTATAATGTGGATAACATTTGTTTCATATAAATTTGAGACAACAGAAAGCTATATCATGGATCCTCAATTGAGATAAGGCTTGAGGCATTAGATGTAGGTGAAATAGCTCTTGCAATAAAGAACTGAGGCAGTGATGGGTTCCTCCCGATTCAGCCCGGTTCCGCCGAGCCGGTAGCGGTGACGATATGACATCACCGAACCGGTTCTGCCCCCCACTCCCCTGTCCCCCCGCCCCCCGCCCCCTGCATTATTTGTACCTTTTATTTGGCCCCACCCCCAATCTATTGCTGCCTCCTGAGTCCCAGTTGATCAGCTAGAAGGAAAAAAACTGTTTAAACTCTTGCTGCGGGGCTTCAAAGGGCCGCCCTACAGCTGATCAGTGTTAAAAGGCAGTGTGGTGGTAGACCAGTGCCTCCAAAAACAAATGAGTAGACGGTGCCTGCAAAAATAAATGGGTAGACCGGTGCTTCCAAAAACAAATGAGTGGACTGGTACAGCTCTGCAAGCAGTTAAAAGCCTGGTAGATCAGTACCTCTGCTAAATCTTAAAGAACTGTCACATGACCATCAAGCCACGCCCACAAAATAAGCCATGCCCACAGAACCAGTAGTAAAAAAATTTAGAACCCACCCCTGGTCTGAGGGCTGATGTTGCCTTTAGAATTATAGAGAATAGCCAAGCATTCCATTCAAAACTATGTTCAATTGAACAGATGTGCCTACCTCTCAATTGTTAGAAAAAGCAGACATGACTCCCTTACAGTCCACTTTGGATCTGTGGGAGATAGATTTGCATTCAGAGTTCAGATTCATTTTCTCCATTTAATTTTAAAATTCCACATTACTTAAACTTTTAAATGCATAAACATTAGTAGTTGCAGATTCAATTGGTGAGCTAATATGGGCTGGCTCAACACAGAATTGTAAGTATAATGGCCTCTTCGGGTTGCATAACATAATAGAAGAGTAAATATAAACAATAATTAATTTTATATTTATAAAAGTATAAACATTAAATTCACTCTTCGTCTTACTGCAGCTAAGGAGGTATAAGAGAAAAGAATCTTTTGTATTTGCCCTTGTTTGCTCCAGTGAAATTAGTTAACATGAAACAAGATGGGGGGGCGGGGGGGCGGGCATCAGCTTTTTTGGAGGGAAGAAGGAAATTCGTATGTCAATCAGGGAAGCTTAGTGGAAAAAAATAAATTTAATGATTATTTACAGTGTGAGTTCATGTATTAATTAAATAATACTGATTCCCACTTGGTAATAGCTACATAAAAATGCAGGGCTCAGTTGGATATACAGTATGTATGAAAGCAGGCAAATCTGGCATCATGTTGTTTGGCTTAAGTAACAAAGAGCTGCAGCACAATGAGTACTGTACATACATGAAACGGGTTTATGTGATTGTTTGATGTGATGTGAATAAACCCTAGATTCCTCTTCTCCCCATGTGTGCTGTGTAATTATGTATTGCCTTGTCCGTACCATAGTTTGAATTGAGCTCCACTCATTTGTCAATATAGATTTACTTGCAAATTCAATTTGTGCAAATTAAAAAAAAAAAATTATAGAGATTGGAGAAAAATCCTCCAGTTTACAGTTTAATCTGAAGTTACCTAATTTGTGTTTCCCAGAACTATACACAAAATAGAATGTGAAATATTTTAATAACAACATTCTTCCAGATTGTTTTTTGTTGTTGTTGTTTTTGCTTTATGAACAGGAACAAAAAAATCATGCTGAAATGTGCATAGTGGTGGAAATAATGTTCCAAAGCTGATTATAACTGAAATATTATTTGAAAATATATATGTTTTGGAAAGTATGTACAAAAATGTATATATATGCATTTGAAAATGCAAATTAATTTTCACGTTACCTTTAATTAATAAATAAATGCAGACATGAGATATTACAAATTAACTTTCAGCAGACAGATTAGACCCTCTGTAATAAAGGAAGGAAGGGAGAATAACCAAAGTAGCTTTTGTTGTACTGACAAATTATGAATTGGTATAACATTGGAATGAACTCATCTAATATTTCAATATCAAGGTTTGATTCTTTTTATTAGTTTTATTGTTTTAAATGTGGTTTTATATTCTGTAAACCACCTTGAGTCTCCATGGGCGAATAGGCGGCAATATAAATTCAATAAATAAATAAAAATAAATAAGTGGTAGCCCAGATGTGAGTCTGAAATACTACACGTATTAGAGCTAAATCCCTACAAAAATGTTTAGATGACAGGAATAGTTTGTGAAATTCTCATTTTTATAGATTCTCATGTTTCTTACAAACAAATATATTAAAATTTGAAGAATTTATTTATTTTTACTCTTCCTTGATTTATTTGTAGCAATCTCATTCATATTTAGTATAAAAATAGTGTAAACATTTTAGTATATTTTTAGTATCCTGTCCTTTAATATCTCTTGGAATGCTAATTATTGTTTTAGAAAATATTTTTTTCTTGAAAAAGCCTTGTCTCATAACACATTGTCTTTTACAGTTTTAGATGTACCTCATATCAATAAATTTTGAACCTTAAGTGCCAAAGGAGCCTGCCCTTATTAACTGATAAAAAGCCTGATAGGTCTAAGTCATCTATGATATTTGCTTCATTTACATTTGCTTGAAACAGCATTGTACTTTTTTTTTATTAAAATAAAAATAAAATCTGACCCCCTGAGTCTTTACACTGCTTTTTTCAACCTGCTAACTTTCATCTTAAGGATATTCTGGTAATGCATTTTAGGAGGCACCAGTGGTGGCAAGGGCGGCCCTTTTCTTGGAATGTGCTCGCTTTGTGCACCGCTGCAACCGGGGCAACTGGCCAGAATGGATGAAGGGGCATCATGTGAATATTACTAAGAAAGGCCTTTCTCGTGGGCGCTCTCCAATCGTGGGAAATAAACGAAACCAGAAGTTACAGTGGAGTGCAGCCAAGCTCTTCTACCAGTGGGGGGAAGTAAGTTTCAGTTCTTCCTCTCACCTTCCCTCCCTCCTTTTCTTACCAGTCAGCAATATCAAAGTTCTGTTCTGAATAATCCATGGGCTTTCTGATTTATACTAATCTATCTTCTTACAGTTTTGTTAGACAAACATTTTAGGTAGCCTAACAAGGTTACTTAAATGATTCCACTTTTCTGCATGAAAAGTGATCAGTTAAGATCAGAGGCTTGGTTTAAATAGTTATATTTAGATATGAACAAGGGGAGTTAAAGTTAAACTTTAAAGTTAAAGTTTTTTTTTCTTTCTTTTTTTATATATGTTTTTTTTTATTGCAAAAGTTTTACAATTACATTTTCACCCCTTTTTCCCCCCCACCTCCCCCCCCCAACCTTCCCAACCTCCCTAACCCTCCCTAACCCTCCCCTCCCCCCAGACTTCCCTATAATATACTCATAATCATGAAGAACCCTAATATAACACTTATATATAAACTTGAGCCCCTCCCTCCCCTGTATAATTTTTCTCTTTATCTCATTACTTTAAAAAATTTTTAGTACATTGTTTTCAAGTAAAAGCTATTTGATACTTTCTAGTTTGATATTTGTTCTGAACATATTCTATCCACCTTTTCCATTCCCACTCATAAGTCTCTTGTGAACAGTCTTTTAAATATGCTGAAATCTTCGCCATCTCTGCAAAACTGGCCATCTTCAAAGTCCATTCCTCAATAGTGGGCAAAATATATATGTTTGTTAGATGCTATATCCTGTATTTGCTCTGGGAAGTCGGGGGAGGGGAAGGCTGGGGGAGGAGGGGGGAGGAGGGAAGGGAAAACACATGTAAAGAATCTGGAGAGGTTCTTGGAGTTTATGTAACTGTTTCTTTTTAAAGAGGGTGTTAATTTGTAAATGTGATTGTACAATCCATATATGGAAAGATGGCAAACAGTTTATGTTTTTCTTGTAAAAATGTTTTTTGTCTTGTAAAACTCTTTAATAATAATAAAAAAAAAGATCAGTGGCTTCCAGGTTTTTCTACTATTAGAAAGCAACAAGATTCTAAATGTCATTCTAAATGTTTTGTTTTTATGCCCTCTCCACAGCAATGAAACAAACTGAATTTTCTGTTTTATTTAGTAAGTTATTCATAGAGTTACGAGTTACTGTCAAAAGTAACTAGAGTTAATTAAAAATGCAATGCAAAAGTTTGGTCATTGCTTTTGCCTTAAGCAGGCCATTTTTCATTGGGGACAATAACATTTATCCAATATACAGGGCTGAGGAAAGGATTACCAAAAATGTGGACTTTCAGGGAAGCAAAGGCAGACTTAAAATGGTTTTGGTTTTTTTGTATATGTTTTATTTACAGTTTTTCTTTAACAATCAACATTTTTTGTGGACAATGTAATGACAGGGTTGACATATTTTTCACATAGTGCTCACAGTAATAATACAAGTACATATACAGAATTTTTATCTTCCAATAAAAATTGGAATTATCTTCCAATTTCTAGCCTTAATGTGCTCATTATAATTATAATATATTCTTTTATGTATTGATCGATATTATACTAATATTTTCCCAATTTATAATTCAGTGTTCCACCACATTTTCAAAATCTCAACTTTCTATAAATACCAATAAAACCAATTGTCAATAAAATTTAATCAGTCCTAAGATTATATCTCTAAGTCCCCTGAATTTATAGTCCTTGAAAACTATATTTTCCAATATATTTTTTACATTTTGTTGATCATAATAATACCTTTAGATATGCCTAATCCTAGTCTTCCACCTACTAATCTTAATGTATCTGTATTTATAATAAATTCCATTATATGTCTATATATATATACTACTATTTTCCCAGTTTAAGCTTTCCACTTATTTCTATTGTTACTATATTGCAAAATATATATTTTTTAATTTGATTTATATGTCGCCCTTCTCCGGAGACTCAGGGCAGCTTACAATGTGTTAAGCAATAGCCTTCATACTTTTGTATATTTATACAAAGTCAGTTTATTGCCCCCACAAACTGGGTCCTCAATTTACCTACCTTAGAAAGGATGGAAGGCTGAGTCAACCTTGAGGCTGGTGAGATTCGAACTTACATTAATTGCAGACAGCTGGTGTTAATCACAATGCTATCAGTCTGCTGAGCCACCAGATATCTCTATCCATCATCTCTCAGCCTTTTTAGAATTTCATCATTTATTGATTTTTTAGTGATTCTTTTATGTTTCTCTCTTGGAATCCTATATATCTTTCTAGCATTTTTGCACAGACTAATTGTTCCCTCTGTCTTATCCTTTATCTCCTTCTGCTGCATCTTTTGAATACCCTGACCCTTTCATTATTTTTGAAAGATCTTTCTTTTTTTCCTTCTCTATTCTGTTATAAGCTCTTAGAGTATTGTCTATTTGATTTTTATTACTTATTATTGCTATCTTTTCAGTATTTTTATCTGCTTTTAACTTATTTTTATCTTTTTGTATTTTATTTTGCTTCGTCCCTTCCACTACTCCTAATTTCTCAGCTAACTTCTGTATATTATATTCATTTTCCCCACCATTTGTTGAGAGACTTCTACTTTCACATATTTATCTTTAAATATTCCCATCAACTTCTTATAATTCTTTGTCGCTATTTCTAGCATTTCTTCATAGAACTTTATCGTCTTCTGCTGGGTCATTTTGTAACAAATTAATGTCCTCTAATGTCCCAATATCTCAATATCTGAAAACTCCAGGGGAAAAAAAAATCACATATTAAGAATATTTGGTCAATCCCAAAATGATTCCACCAAGTTCCCAGATTTTCTATTAGTTTGTGTTATAGTTTCTAATTTACACCTTCCCAATTGTTCAGGTTTTAAAGTCTTATTTATCTTCTCTTCTTTTGTTCCTTCAAGTCTTTCAAATCCACTTTTCAGTGTACAGTTCCTATAAAATTTTAGTGTTTAATTTAATTTGCCTTCTGAATCTTCAAAAAGCTCAGTAAATATTTCCCAGCATCCAAATCACCTACTGCTATCCTAAAAATGAATTTAAAAGATGATGTAGAAGAGGAACAGCTTTTATTGGATAAAAAGTGAGGCTGACTCTAATGTGGATTTTAAAATGACAGGTACAAAACATGTGGAGAAAGATATTATACTGGATTTATAAATGAAACAGCTGTTGTCTTAATAATTAAAAGGAATGTACAAAGAAAAAACAGATTTGGATTCTTATTGTAGATTTACGAAAGAGATGTGTTACACTTACAAAGGAGTTCCTGAGAAGAGAGAAAGAAAAAAAATGAAAAGAAAGAAACTTTGGGGACACTATTTAAAGGGATTAAAAATCAAGATTCTTAAAAGCAAAGGGAAGGAATACAAAGTTGGATTATTTGATCAGGGACAAAAGTATATATTGTTTCTGGTAGCTTTTAATAGATTTTTCTTTAATGAGGAGGCTTTAAACATTTGTTTATAGATAAGATGTGGAAAAAAGAGAACTACTGTGGTATTTTCAGAAAAAGTGATAAGTTACTGTGTTAAAAATAAAGGAATATAAAGTTGGTTTAACTCTTAATGGATTTTTGCTTACAGCTATGCATAACAAAGCTTTAAAAATTGTTTATAGGTAAGAGATGAGATATAGGAAGAGGTCTTATATTGCTGTATCAGATTTGATAAGTTTCTGAAACTGTTTATACTTGTCTTGATTGAAGCAGGAAACCATTTCTTCATATATTTCCCCCCTTTTTTTCCTTCTTGCACTTTTTATTTTTCTCTTTACTTTTTAGATTTTTCTTAGTCTGTATTAGTTTTTTATCTTTGGATCTGTAAATTTTAATAAAAATTATTATACCTGATATATAAAAAAGGAAAGGATCACAACAGGATGCTAGATATTGAAGCACTTTGAATATTGTAAAGTATTATATAAAAGCTCTACTTTATTGTGGTATTTTTCCCAGATCTTTTTTTAATGACATATATAAACAACATGAATACAAAAGAGGTCTTTATTTGCAAATGTCAACATCACAATTAAGATTTTCTTTTTTAAGAAACCTTTATGACCCTTTCTTAATTCTATACTTTTGGCAGGCAATTGGAGTCCGTCTCAATGAACTTTGCCATTCTGAGAGTGAGAGTCCGGCCAATCTGCTGGGCCTCATTTATGATGAGGAGACCAAGAGGAGGCTGAGAAAGGAGGATGAGGAAGAAGACTTTTTAGATGACAGTAAGGAGACTCCCTTTACTACAAGAACCCCCACTTGTAAGAACCTCTCCTTTAGGAACACTTATTCTTTTTTCTTTTTCTTTCTTTTTTCTTTTAAAAATTTCTTTTTTTGGTTCCCTTTCTAACCACAGTGTTTCACCACATTTCTTCTTTTCTTCTTCTTCTTCGACTATCTGAATCTTGCTCTAATGCATTATATAATAGTTTGGTGCATTAAAAAATGAGAGGGGGAAGAAATAATCAGATGTGTTGCCTTCTATATAAATAAAAATATAGCCACCTGCAGAATCTTATGGACCTAGTTGGGTGCATCTTCTCATCTGCATCCCATAATTACTTCCAGTAGCTCAGTAGAACCTAGGCAAACTTATAACTTGGATAGTGTAGACATCTACTTCAGTGGTGGGTTGCTCCTGGTTCGCCCCGGATTGGGCGAACCAATAGTGGCGGCAGCGGGAGGCTCTGGATATCTCTGTGCATGCACAGAAGCGTCGCGCACATGTGAGCACGCAAGTCCACGAGTGAACTGGTAGCGACAGAAATTGAAACCTACTACCGATCTACTTGAATCTGCACTGACAGTTTACTGGGGACTGAGAATACAGACCTGAAATTTCAGTTTCCAATATGATCCATTTTTGTTTTTTAAATTTATTTTTAAAAAGTCTGTGCTCAGAGCAGTGTACAAAGCAAAACCTAAAAATTTATAATAATAATAATAATAAAATAAAAAAAAACAATAGTATTGATCAACATGGATAGATACTAAATTCTAACATCCCCAAAATGGTTTCTACTGGTACCAAATTTTTACTTCTTTACAAAAACTCATTAGGGAGGAGGTATTTTGTATATATGGGCAAGACATTCCAGAAAAGAAGCACCACCATGAAGTATGCATTGCTATGGGTCTTCGGGGGGGGGGGAGGGACAGGGACTTTCATTAGGGCCACTCTTACCAGACTAACAGATTTATTTCTGAGTACACAGTCTTAAGTCCAGGTCATGGATCTTAACCAGGTCATGTCAGATTTTTAAAGATAACCACAGCACATGAATTGCACTTGGGAAACTGAGCAGCTCCCAGTGCAATTTTTGAAATGGAAGTGTGATGTGCAGATCTTGGAGTGCCCATTACTCCATGAGCCATAGCATACTAAATCAGTTTAAATTTCTGAATGATCCTTAAAGGCCAGCTCAGTGTAGAATTAAATGGGTTAGATTATACTGCATTAATCCAAATAGTGCAGAGGTGAGATTTCACAAAGCCTTAAACTACCCATTTTCTCCCTTAAATGTTTGCCTGTCATGAGAAAATATGCCCCAGGTTTGTGAGGGTTTCAGGGTTTTTTTTAAAAAGTGCTATGCATGACTTATGCTTCTGCTAGCCATTCTATTGTCCTCTAAATCCACCAGAACTTGTAAAGAAAGGAAGTTCTTTTAGATAGTATCCATCTGTTAAATGGAAAACTAGAAAGCAGGCTAAATGAAAAGATTTAAATTAGAGGTAAAATATTCATCTGTGGAAGTTTTTCTTTTTTTTTTTTAATGGTAAACAGATTCTAGAAAAACCTTTCCTAGTCATCTACACTTCAAAATGGGGGACTATCACATTCAGAACTCACAATAAGAAGTTACTAATATTTCCATGTCAGAAACACCAAAGTGCTTTTGTGGTGAAAGGATTTTCTGGTGACATTCCCGGGGCACACCCAGGTGGGGGCTCCATTTGCATCCCCATGAAGTTGCCACTAAAGTGGTACCCATTTATCTACTAGCGGAGTTGGTGTATGAAATGGGAGCTCACCCTGAGCAATGGGTCTCAAACACAGGGCTGTCAATTGTCAGCCCAGTGTTCAACCTTGTAAGCCACCCACTCCTTAAATTAATTAAGGAATTAATTGGCTATCTTGATTGGTAACTATGCTATTGTAGACGAACACATCTGCAGGTCAGGTGGTTAAGGAAATCTATGCTTTAATATTATGCAATGTAGCAATTAATATCACACAATTATTTAAAATGGCAAGAAGACTGTATGTTAACACTTTTATAAATTAGCACAGACAAGTAGAACATGACACTACAATTGTGTCAACAAAATGTAGGTCAGTCTAACAGAACAAAAATGTTTCAAAATATCATCTACATGTTTGTCTACTGTAATACATTGATTTATATGTGTGTCTATTTGTAATGGTGTTTTTCTTCCCCTCTAAGCATGCTATCCATTAGAGTTTCTTGTGATTTTGTTGGATTTACTCTGTAAATATAAGTTCTAAGACCATCTAAGCCATCTAATATTTGGATAGAACAGATTGTGGGCATCTTATTTCAGTTACCAAGGCCTGGCAATATATTGGTTCTTAACCTTGCTCATATACAGCCTGAACCTTTTTATCTCTGTCAGTTGTCTAGAATTGTTCTGCTAGTTATGTGGCTAAATAAATAAATAAATAAGAAAAAATGCATATGTATACATGTACATGTATAAGGACTTTCTATACCTTACTGCAGAGTTAATGGGATTAGGAAAGTGCTTTATAGTGAAGGAATTAGAGAAAGAAGAATTTGTAAATCAGAGAGGAATGGGACTCCAATATATAACACATGTGTGTCTGTATTTTAATTCTGTCATTCAAAAATTCTGTAACATTTCATAATTTTATTTTGATAGTTAAAAGGTATAGAGAATTGGCTCACTTGCTATTAAGATATACAGTATCATCATGTCCTGTTGCACTTCTTATAAAACAATGCAGCATGCGTCAATCCAGGTATTACAGAAGCCCCAAAGGAAAACAGAACCAAACTAGAATTCATTACCAAATTGCTTCTCACTAATATTTGTAACTATTAATTATACTTAATCACAGTTTTAGTAAAGACTTTATCTAGAATGAATTATAGCTTGTCCTAGTTTGTTATACAATTCTAGGATGACTCTGAGAGAATGCTGAAAAAATTTAACTCTGTATTATCTAGATCTATGAAGAATTTGCAATTCCTTCCCTCTCAATTCATGGTTTCAAAGTTCAAACTTGAAAGTAGCAAATTTGGTGAAACCTACTATGGTTGTTTCCATTTCATATTTCTCTAAGGTGAAAATATTTACAGTGAATAATTATTACACTGTAATAATAATTACAGTGTAGAAGTGCATTTATTGAGGAAAGAATACTAAGAAATACAGATATGTGCAATTAATCAGCTAAACTAATCTTCATACTCTGAACTCCAGCTTTTCCCCTCTCTATTCTTTAATCTGTTTTCTAGAGTGTTTTCATCTACAACTGTACACTTTAGATTTACAGTTAGTTACAAATATTAGTGAGAAGCAATTTGGTAATGAATTCTAGTTTGGTTCTGTTTTCCTTTGGGGCTTCTGTAATATCTGGATTGACATATTGAGTAGATGCAGAGAGACATTATAAAGCTCCTTAAACCAGCAAGAACAGCCCAGTGCAAGTCATTCATATGCTCCAGTTGAAAGCTTTACAGGAAATAATTTTGATTATGTTTTCAGTTGTGCAACTTTCATCTTCTTGATCACTTTGTTATCAAGTGGTGTATTTGAAATTGCACTGGGATTTGAGATTCACTGGGATTTGCTTAAATTCCTTCTTCTGTAGTCTAGCCTTTAGAGGAGACAACTAATACCATTAATGATGAAGAAAAAGAAGATGGAAAGAAATGTAGATTCTATAATTGTATCAAGTATGTATGAAGACTGAAACTAAATATGACATGTAACTTCACATGCTTTTTCCCCTATAATTTTTCAAACAAACAACAGTTGCTGTTTTTCTTTCAGGTAGCAGAATTAACAATATAGAGAGCAGCAGGGGAAAGTTAGGATTAATCTGCCACCAAATAAAACACACTATTATTCCTCTCAAACTGAATCTCTAGAGAGTGCATTAGTTAAAGGGGGAAATAATGGAAAAATAGTGTAAGATTGTAAAACAGTTCTGAATTATGAGGTAAAGAGTTCTTAGGGAGACTTCATTTATAAGAATCATATATTTGAAATCGTTGCAGTGATGCTGTTGTAGAGGTATCATAAATCACAGTGAATATGAAACAATACTGTAGCCAAATGTGTCTGTCACCTTTCCCTCCCCCCCCCCAAATAGAATAATCATACAACATATTGTTCCATACATAGTTTGCATTATGTACTATGTTTGGTGGTGTCCATTTTTTTAGAATGATCTTTTTTCTTTGCTGTTCTTTTTTTTGTAACAGAACATATGTATATTTTCTTTTTTAGGTACAGTAAATCCCACCAAATGTTGTTGTCCTTTTGCTTTGAAGATGGCAGCATGTCAGCTTCTTCTAGAGATCACCACTTTTCTTCGAGAGACCTTTCCCTACATGCCCAGGCCACGTACTGAACCGCTTGTGGTAAGTGAGAGGAAGGGATGGATCTGGGTATAAAAGAGTAAAGTTACAGAAGTGGGGAAGGTCTGGGTAGGGCAGGAAACAAAAAACCAATTGTGTAGCTTAAGAATGTATTGATGAGACAGAGTGAAAATATACTAACCAAAATAGCCAGTGATTTGGTCATAGATCTTGAAAAAAAAAGATTTCTCAAGATGGATGGGTCCAACCATTCTTAATATTCTTTAGTTTTTTAAAAAAACATTTTAGAAAACATTCTTTCAAGAATTAAATAAATTAATTTCCAAATTTATATGGCAAGGGAAAACCCCCAGGATTAAATTAAAACTTTTGCAAGACAGCAAGGATAGAGGGGGATTGGTGTTACCAGAATGGGAAATTTATCACCAAGCGGCAAGTTTAGTATGATTAAAAGACTGGATGGAGCCGAAAAATAATAGAGTACTAACAATAGAAGGCCATGATCTGCAAGCAGGGTGGCATGCATTCCTGTGGGATGAGAAATATAAATCACATAAATATTTTCAAACACATTTGATCAGGAATGCATTGCTACAGATTTGGAAAAAAACAAAACAAAAACACTATACTAGAATCCCAATGTGGTTATCACCAACAGAAGCATTGATATACCCAAATTTATTGGAGAAAAATAAGATAATTAGATATAAGGAATTGGTAAATGATCAGGGAGATTTGAAAACGAAACAAGAATTGGAACAAGAAACTGGTAGGGTGATGGATTGGTGGACATTTGCACAAGTGCAATCTAAATTTGTAAGAGATAAAAAGATATATGAAATATGAAAGGAGCCGCAAGAATTAGATAAAATTATTAATGGAACAGAGATAAAATTAATTAGTAATATATACCAATATCTACTGAGGTATAAAAATGGAAGAAGAGGTAGCTAAAGATACCATGATTTTGGCTACAATATAGAATTGGAGAAATGGGAAAAATGATGGGAAATAAACATTAAATTGACTCTTTCAACAGCATTCAAGGAAAACTAGTTAAAAATGTTATCTGTAGAACATTAAAAATGTTCTATAGATGGTACTTCACACCAGTACGACTTGCTAAAATGTCTCCGAACAATTCTCCAAATTGTTGGAAATGTAAAAAAGTGCCCGGTACATATTATCATCTCTGGTGAACATGTCCCAATACGAAAAAATAAAATTAGAAGTTGGATAGAAGAGGTAATTGGCTATAATGTGGATTGGAAACCAGAAACGTTTTTACTGGGGATATTGAACAGAATTTACAGCAAAGAAATTAGATATTTGATTCTGCATATAATTACAGTGGCAAGGATAGTCTACACACAGTCCTGAAAAAGAGAAAAGATCTCAACAGAGGAAGAAATAATTAAGAAAATCCTGGACTGTGCGGAGATGGATAAATTAACGAAAGAAATAAAAGGAAGATACAGAATATTATCAAGTATGGACTAAGTGGTATGAGTGGCTCGAGATTAGGGAAAGTAAATGTGAATAAACGATGGAGAGAAGAAGGTGACAAATGTGTAAAATATTGTAAATGAAGAAAATTAAAAATAAAGGACGATAAAGATAATGATAATAAAGGATGGGAAAAATGGGGAATGTATATAGTAGAAAGCAAGAGGAATGAAAACTGATACCGTGTTTCTCTGAAAATAGGATATGTCCCGAAAATAAGGCCAAGACTGATTTTTCGGGTGGGCATAAATATACGCCCTCCCCCAAAAATAAGCCCTCCAGCAAGCGTGGCCATTTTCGCCATGGATTGTGGCCACTTCTGCAGCAGGAAGCCAAGTGATGCGCCCCATGTGCCTTCTGAAGGGTACTATAGCAGCAGCTATCCACAAGTTTTTTACCCTTATTTCATCGTGACCGTACTGGGCCACACGGGTTGAGACGAAATAAGGGTTAACAAATTGTGGATAGCTGCTGCCATGGTAACTTTTGGAAGGCTGCCGCGAGGCGCGAATCTCCTGCTGCAGAAGTGGCTGCACCCGAGGAACACTTTCGAGAGAGAAGGCAAAGGGGAAGTGATCCCTTGCAAACTCCCATCCTGCTCCCGCCTCTCCGCTGGGCAACTCCCAGCAGCCCCAGACGCCCAAAGCCCGTGCCTGCCTGGCTCACTTTTCCACAATGCCCGACTCTTTATTGAGGGGGGTGGGAGAGAAGCAAAAGGCATGAAGCGGAGACAGGGCTTGCTCTTCTTGCTGTCTCTTCTCCCCCTCTCACCAGGTCTAGCAGGGCTTCCTGTCCCTGCCCCAATTGCATGCAATTTGGGGATGACAAGTGGGAAGGGGTGGGGCTGGGAGACATGAAATGTGTCTTACCTGCCTTGCAGCTCCGTTGTGTGTCTCGCCATTGTCTGCAGGCAAACACGTAGGGTAAAAAAAACCTTGCAAGTGCAATCAAACTTCTTGAACTCACAAGCAGTTTAGTTTTACCCTACGTGTTTGCCTGCAGACAACAGTGAGACACGCGACAGAGCTGCAAGGCAGGTAAGACACGCATCTCGCGTCTCCCTGGCCCCTGGCAAGGGTGGGGGGGCAGAAGAGACAGCAAGACGCGTCTTGCTTCTCCCCCGCCCCACATACCACCCCCCTCAATAAAGAGCCAGGTGCTAAATATACAAATTACATCCTTTCGGAACAGAGCTTTGATCTGGTCATCACTTTGTTCAATTTTTAACAAAATTTTTAACAAAATTTTATCTATACTATTTTGCCATAGCACTTATTTCTAAATCTTATATCACATATTCAACTAATACCATCTTTAAAAAATTAACACAAATTTACTTAATCAAAACAATTACCCTTCTATTACCCACCTTAATTCTTAATTAAATTAATAATTAATAACTTGTATGTTATAAATTGTATGTATGTTGGAAAAAAATAAAAAAACTTTTTGCAACAAATAAATAAATAAATAAATAAAGAGCCAGGTGCTGTGGGAAAGGGAGCCAGGCAGGCGCAGGCTTACAAAAATATTTTGTAATAGAATTATAAGAGCAGCATATAAAAACCAGTTATAAAATCAATTATCTTCAGTCTAGCCTACTTCCTTCTTGGGTTCATTGTAAAACAGTAGGATAAAATCTAATGCAACATTTACATTTCCTTCTCAATTTGAACTCTTTCTTGCTTCAAGAGTTCAAAAACTTGAAGGCCTGTTTTATTTATACACTTGCTTGTCATACACTTTTATGTTTATATACTGTTATAGGATCTGGAGAGTTGCAGGTTGCGTTTGGACCCTGAGATGGATCGACACAGGTATGAGAGGAAGATCAGCTTTGCTGGGGTTTTGGATGAAAATGAAGATTCAAAAGATTCCTTACACAGCAGCAGTCATACCTTGAAGTCTGATACAGGTTGTGAAGAGAAGAAAGGTTTGTTACCTAGTGAAGCTTTTGTTTTATTGCAAATTCTAATGTCACTGTGCACAGCATGTTCTTATTTCATCCAAAATAATATTAGAGTACACTAAGCTGAATCTAATACGTTTATATTTAGATGTATTTTTGGTACTTTAGTTTCAATATTATCAATTCTACATTTGAACAGTGGTAAGACTCTTATTTGGGTGGAATTGTTGTGCCTAGATATAGTTTCCTCCTCCTCCTCCTCTTTCAGAGTTGTTATTTTTAATTCTCCAATGCAAATTGCTGTAAAAGGGTCATTGCCATGAGGTAGATCATTTAAATAAATTAAATACTTCTGTCAGTTTTTGGAGTACTTAAAATCATGTTTGTCTGTGTTGGATTATAGACAAACTTAATAAGTAGTAAGTAGACATTGGTTGCATCAACATATTAATGTTGAAAGTACTTTAATTAAGTACTTTAATGTTTTGTTTTATATATGAAAGAGCCAGAGGCTCATGTATATGCATTTAAAAATAATTCAGTTTCTTGCTCCCTCTAACTTAATCCAAAATTACAATATGCTTAAAATTCATGCCACGTGGCTCTTGTTTGCTAATTCCAAAATGTGATGTGTAATTTCAAAGCTTACATTTCCGTGTTTACTACCGGCAGTAGAATACTGTATTTATCATTGTAATGCCATCTCATGCATACAAACAGCCACTACAAAACTATTTTAATATTTAAGAGTTTCAATCCAAAATATACTTAGTAGCTATTTAATTTATTATTGCATATTGTAAATAACAGCCCCACCTGTCAATATGACAGAGTATAACTCATAAAGTACACTGTTCTCTTTTTGTACTTACAAAATGAAATATATATATATATATAACAGTATTTTTAAAAAGATAAGGTACTATGATTTACGAAACTATGATAAACCATAAGTTAAATGATGAAGAAACAAATTGTATTATTTTGTTGAGTCTGGCTGATTCCATTACATGGGAAATTGACACAGATTTAATTTTTCATTTTTGGTATTGTGTTTGTTCCTTTTCTGAATATTGAAGTTTAGATGCTTGATATATAGGATTGTTCTGACAGTTGTATTTCCTATGAGGAGATTGGACTCCACTTTGGAATATACAACTAGTCCTAAATCCACTTCCTTAGCAGACAAAATGGTAATGGGATATATTCAGTTATATTTGGACATTTAAGTTGCATAAGCCTGCTATAGCACCACAATTCTCAATACAGTTACGTGAAAATGGGAATCAGTGGTATATGAAAGTGGTTGGGGAAGACTGGAGATATTTTTAGGAAGGTATTAATTTCATCAACAATGGTAAGAATAATCTAAAACTCTTCATATAGAATATTTATTTATTAAATGTATACTTCATGCATCACCATCAAGAGCGACTCTAGGTGGCGTACAGTGCATAGCCTTCCTGGAAGTTGCTGTACAGGGAGTCCTAAAGTTACAACCTCAATTGGGACTGAAATTTCCAGTACTAAGTGATGCAGTTAAGTGAGGGTGTGCAAGAAGCGCCAGTTGGGAAGGGGATTCTAATTGTAATCACTATTCAATGATATTGTAATTTCAAACAGTTGCTTAATGAATTATTGTAAGTCAAGGACTGCCTGTTGGTACTTCTGTACCAGGGAAATGCCTCTGCTGATGTGTATGTACATGGCAACCCTTTTTTTACTGTACCTGTGCATTAGCAATGTGTGACAAATATGATAAAGCTGCACCAAATGTTAATTCTTCCCTTTAACTATGTCCATATGAATGTATCTCTTGTTGCCCATTCTGAAGCATGAATTTAAATAAGCTATGGTCTGCCCAGAAAACAAATTGAAAGTGAGAAAGGAATCTTTTTTGAAGTAGTATATAAATTAATCTCATTTTTAATTTATTGTTTTATTGTATGTTATTCTGTTCATTTGTTAGTGGTTTAAAAGTATGTTGTGTAAAATTGGCTCATAATTTATAGAAAAAAATGTTTCTGATCTCTGTGAAGTGTTAACAGAATTGTATATATATATGTAATTATTGATTATGGCTTATTACATTAATTAACTACAAGTATCCCAGAAGATGTGCAACATTAAAAACAGAAATAACAACAATTAAACTTTGAATAATGCAATACAATAAAATAAATCAGCCAGTGAAAACATAATATAAATATATTAAAATCACAGTAAAAGCAGTGTTAATGATTTTGAAAAAAGTGTTAATACATTTTCCCTTGTAAAAACTTTATTCAAAAGTTAATTCTATAGGCATAGGCAATTTTTCTATTCCAGAATAGATTGTAAACGTTGGGTTGAACATGTCTGAAAGGCAATGGAATGTGACCAAGTAGACTTTTTAAATGACCAAGGTCATTTTGAGTGGGATTTATTAGTATCAAAACTACAGATATAGATACAAATATCACACAGGAGCAAAAGTTTTATTTATAACTTCCACAAAACTGGCAACAAGTTAAAAAATCTATCTGGAAACAATAAACATTTCCCCCTTTTATTTCTTTATCATTATATTTAATAATGGGTTTTTAAAATTAACTTAACATTAGGATGAAACAATTGATCAGAATTAAAGTCTGTTACTGATTGCCTACATTGACTATTGTAGCTAAGTACAGCTTGAATTTCTGTGCTGAGTTTGTTAATCATGGAATTATGGAATTAAAATTAAAATCCTGTATGCAGAAGACAGATTTAAATAGGTTAAATAATGAATTTCTCTTTATTGGAAACTATAATTGATATGCATCTAAAACAGAGCAATGAATGTTCCTTAACAATGCCCAAATACCTTTTAATGACAAGAAGAAATCTTCTTTGTGGTCAAAGACCAATACATAATTAAACTCAACAGTATAAAGCAGGCCAGGTTACAAATATATATAAAAAGAATCACTATATAAAGAACAAAATTCAATAATTATGTCACTGGAAATGTGCCAATGGAATTACTGTTGTGTTTGGCATTGTTTAAAACAAGGTTTTCATTCTCTCTCTTTTCAGGAGGGGGGTCAGGAACAACAACAACAATATATTTTAAAGAATTTTTAGAATGGATGAAAAAGAAATCTATAAACTCTTTTGTTCCTATTCAAAATTCAGTGAAACTTCTATGGAATACAGTCTAAATGATACTGTTGCTGTTTACAAAATAAATTAATCTCCTTTCTTCTTTTCATTCTTCCTCTATTTCTTTTTTCCCTTCCTCTTTTTCTGGCTTCTGTAACTGATTCTAATACTGTAATATGTATTTTAGAAGTAGTTTTCTATTACAGGAATCCTTTGCCTGCATTTTGGTTATAATTTATACATAGAAACAACAACAACATGTTGTAGGATATTAAAAATTACAAGATGCATTGAGGTGTAAGTTTTAAAATACCAAGTAGATTTTTTAAAAAAATTATTCTTAATTCATGCATCCAATACTCTAGTCCCCAGAAGCTTATCCCACAATTTATCTCTTATCCTTTAAGACACTGTGCAAAATCATTCATTGATCTTGCCAGAGGAATAATATGATATTTCTCTTATAGTTTGTTACACAATGTGCCACTTTCAGGCTAGTCAATAAAACTACAAACCCAAGCAAATACAAATAAAATATATGCTAAAAGTGATCACTTGCAAAGAAAATTATGCATTCATCATGGCAGAGTGCAAATGTATAAAAATCAGGATTTCCTCCCTCCCCAGCTACCTAAAAACCTAGATCTTAACAAGTTTAGATATTTCCTATTTCATCATTGCCCTTTCTTCTGGCCCCTAGAGACAACTATCATTTATTTGTATTGTGACTTGTGCTGTGTGTTCACTTTTAAATAGATGTACAGCTGAGTGTTGCAACATTTGGACATGCATATTGCCCATGTACTGCCTTAGAGCTGAGTGGAGAACAACATGCCAGTGACTGGTGCTTCAAACCATTCCATATATTCGTGCTCATTACACACACACACACCCATGCACACAAACACACAAACACAAACACACACGCACACACTCAACACATACACAGATGTCTTTAATGCCTGAAAACTTCTGAACTATCTGAAGAGTGGGACCACATATTGTTGCTTTTTCTGTAGAATTCTGGTGAAGTTTAATGTGCAAAGACGACGAATTATACAAAGGTAACATTCAGAGTGGATAAGCAAATGACATGCCTAGTTTAAACAAGCAGGCCACCTACTATACTTGCTACATGAATGAAAGTTATGATTCTATCACAAAACGTGGTCAGCCTTGGGCTAGCTGGAGAACAGCTCTGTTCCAAGGCCTGATGGAACTTGCAGTTCAGTCATCGATAGCCAGTGATGAGTGTTGATGGAATGGCAAAAGTCTTACTAGCAAACATGGAAAGATAACTGTTCTATGTAAATGAGAACAAATTGTTTGGCACTAAATATAGATTTGTGGTTTAGCTGTGGGATTTCCAATAATGCTGATTGTAAAGTATTTGAATTACACTAATGGCTGGATTGAGGTCTAATACAATCTGAGTAATAGATTTGTCTTACCTTTCACTAAAGCATCCCATATCGGATGATTTCTAGAGCCACCTTGGTGTTGCTTTGGAGGGAGCCTCTTGCTGGTCTTCCTTGGAAAAAAGGCATTGAAATGCAGATGGAGGAGGGGGGAGGGTGAAAAATATAACTTTATACAAAATATACGTCATTATACTTTAAAATGGGGGGAAATAAGGGGGAAAAAGTCCTCTTTTATTCTTTTAATACAGTTCCCAGCAGGAAGATCAGGATAGGAGGCTCCCGCTTGCTCCAGATTAAAGGAACCCGCAGTTTCCGGGTGAAGAGAGGGGGTTCCCTGTCCAGCATTCGCCGGGCCGGCAGCCTAAAGAGCACCAAGTTATCCCGTCAGGACTCAGAGTCTGAGAATGAGGAGCTGCAGCTGTCCCACAGCAGGGACACTGTCACTGACATAGGTAACACAGATGAGCTTGGTTAAAAAAAGGGAGAGGGATCTTGAGGTAGCAGCATCCTTAGTTTAGGAGATCTAGGAAAGGGGCTTGGAGGCTAGGCAGACCTCCCACGGCCCAGGCTTGAATCAGGAGTTCCCTTTCTTGCATGGACTTCACATTTGGCAAGGACAGAGCTTGAACCTTGCCAATACCTCTTGAAGTAGTCAGTGCTGCTCCACTCAAAGAATGCCAAATTTTAAAAATAGAAATGTTTGATGTGTGGACTCTGTACAGGCATTTTCCTGACTGCCAAACAAATGCATGCCGTGAATAGGAAAGTATATATAAAAACAACATATATTATATATCAGTGGCATATATAATATATATGGTATTGTATATATACACTCACTCTTTCTTTCTCTCACACACATACACATCTCATTGCAATAGTATGTACTATGCATATACTTATATATACAATATGCATATATTTTGCTTTCTATGAGATAAATATATGTGTACTCGTCAATCTCCAAAATATTTGTTTCCAGAGATTTATTTTAGAGAAGAACTCAGACACAGATAAATCCTAGACCTGAATCTCTTTTCCCCTTGTGGGTCTCAGTGGTATTGCCCGTGCTCTTTCTTTTCTGGGTAGACATCCAAGTCAATGCATATTTGCTTTAAGGGTCGGGGAAGGATGTAATTGGAAATACTGCCTTTTTAATAGCCTCAGTACAATCCTATGCATATCTTCTGAGAAATCTCTCTCATTGAATTCAGTGGTGCTAACTCCCAAGCAAGTGGATATAGGATTGCAGCCATAATATTACAATACAGTAAACAAATTGTATGCTAAAGTTCTGTCTGATTGGAAGGCCCATTGACAATAAGTGCATGCAGGAAACTCTGGGGTCTGAGAGAGCATTCCTCTGCCTTTGTTCTCAAATGTCCATTAGGATTTTTCTCTTTCTTCCCCTGTAACCCCTTGATGGGATCTAACAAGGCAGTAATTGTAACAAATTGCTGCCATTGCAGGAATATGTGTATTATCTTTCTTTAACATGGAGCCCAGTCAATGCAGATCACTGAAACCAACAATTGGCAGCAGCATGATTATGCAAGAATTTTGTTTCTACTTACTCTCCCTCCCCTCTTCCAGAAAAGGGAACAATATTTATCCCTGATTAGTGGTCATTTCCATGGTGACTATAAATTATGCTTGTAATGATCAATCTAGCTAATAATTGGGACATGAAGAAAGGTTGGAGGTGATATTTTTTAACTCACATTCCTTCCTGAAGGGCTTGGCCTATTAGGAATTGTATGCTTCTGGCATATTATTCTGTTCTCTCTAAAAAATATAAGGGAATAAAATCAATTGGTTTCAAAAACCCTGGTCTGGTTTACAAGCATATATATATATATATATATATGAATGATTTAAAATATGGAGTTAGCATCAGAAGACAACTACTTTTGGATGTGTGTGTGTGTTTTATTTTTAAGAAGGAAGCCCTTGGAGTGCAAGTGAACCTAGTATAGAACCTGAAGTGCTCAGCAGCACTGGAACAGAAGATAACTATCACCGGAATATGACGTGGCTACATGTAAGTAGAGATTATTTTTGTTTCTCTAGAATTATATAACATTCACTTTGTCATCTTTTTTTATGAATAACAAAGTTTAAACTACTCAAGAATTTAATTTAATCCAGAAAATGTCAGCTGTCCAATTTGTGAACCCAAAACAAATTGGAAACAGTATTGGGAGAACTGAATTCCTGAAAGTAAAACTATTAGATACACCATATTGGTACTGAAGAAACAAAACCAGAGCCAGCTCTGGTTTTCCCACATACATACTTGCCTAGTTAAACAATAGCTTCCTCTTCTTCCCACCCCTGGGTGACATCCTCTTGTTATGGGAACAGTCCATCTCTTTCTCAAGCACCTGCAGTGGTGACCTTGACCTTGATGGTTTCCAATGTGGACAATCACAATTTCTGCATACATTTTCCTTGGAGGACAATAACTTATCAATATATTTATCATTATAATGTTATATTAGTACTTTAGTTACTCAGCTCTGAGATCCCTGTCAACTAGATGATATGAATAAAGGTAAAGGTTCCCCTTGCACATATGTGCTAGTCGTTCCTGACTCTAGAGGACGGTGCTCATCTCTGTTTCAAAGCCGAAGAGCCAGCGCTGTCCAAAGACGTCTCGGTGGTCATGTGGCTGGCATGACTAAACGCTAAAGGCGTTTATGATATGAATATATTTATTTATGATATGATATTTATAATATGATATGAATAGGGAACTGCAAAAATGAGTAAGAAAATGGAGAGAAGAGGGAAAGGAATTGTAGATAATGTTTTCCCTCTCCACCAGTCTCACACCATGCTTCCTGAATCTTCAAGGTGATTAATTTGTCTTCCATGTCTAGAATTCATTAATTCAACCAAGAAGAAGCAATCACAGCTACTCAGCCAAAAAAAATTGGGTGTAGTAGGAGAATCCTGAAGTGATTATTATTTCCAGAAATGAAATTTTGTATAGCCAGGTAGCAGGGGGAAATTCCTGTTCTTAAACTAGGCAACTCTGAGCAAAATGGCAGCAATGATAAATACTCAAACGTGGCTTTTGGAACAAAGGAAAAGGTTATTGTTTGATCTCACTTTGCCCTGGAACATTTCATTGATCAACTGAACAAATATGTTTAAATATTAAGATTAATGAGTATGAGATATTTGCTAGATCTCTCATTCACGAGTTAATTGTCAGAGTTAGTGAAATATTAAATTGAAGAGGATGGAGACAAATAGTTTGAAAACATTTCAAAGATTTTTCTGTCTATGGTTTCTGATATTTAAAAAAAGGATTTTCGCATAATCTTCTCTTGGCACAAAAACAGGATTGCAATTCTATAAATATTCATACTTTGTTTCCAGGTGATGATCCTGCTGTGCAACCAGCAGAGTTTCATTTGTACCCATATTGATTACTGCCACCCTCACTGCTACCTCCACCACAGTCGTTCATGTGCGCGCCTTGTCCGGGCGATCAAACTTTTGTATGGAGACACTGTGGATTCACTTAAAGAAAATAACTTATTAAATGGTGTGGCCAGAGGCAAAAAACAAAAAGAGGTAAGAGGCAATGAATAAATAAATAAATTACTCATTTTTCAGCTGCCTAGACATTTATTTTAGACTGTCAAACTTGGTTCTACTCGCAGGTGAATAGATGTGGGAGGAGTTTCTAAGAATTGTGTTTAATATAGGATCCTTCCTTAGTGAAACAATGTATTTATTTATTTATTAAATTTGTTTGCTGCCCATGTTGCCACAATTGTTTTGATACAGGGGCAAATAAATGATGAAGCAAGCTTCGTGACACAGGCTTCATTCTTTTTGGGCATGTATCACAATGTTATATAAATGTTGTGAGGGGTGAAGCTGGCTTCATAATATTTGTTTCAACATTCTGATGAGACTGTTGACATCCTATGAAATGTGCATCATTTTGGAAACAGGCAAAGAAGGAAATGTCAGCTTCTCTCATTATCAGTGGTTTCTGGTCAACAAGGGAAAGCTGCATTAGTTAAGTGTATTACTGTCAGAAACATAATGGAACCCCCAGCTTCTACGAATGAGCTACTGTATCTTCTGAAAGCACTCAGATTTGTTTAGGTCAATTGTCTTTCAGTGTTCAGATAAGTCATGCCTCAGAACACCCTCCCTGAAGAAAAGAGTGTTGGATTCTAATCTTGAAGGAAAAAAAGACTCTGGAATGTTGAAATACATAAGGCATCAGGTAATGTGAATTTCCATTATATATAAAGAATAATATGAATATGAATAATATGAATAATATTATATAATAATATGAATATGAATAATATGAATAATGAATAATATGAATATGAATAAGGAATAAGGAATAAGGAATATAAGGAATAAGGAATAATGCGCTAGTGCAGGGGTGTCAAATTCAATTTCATTGAGGGCCATATTAGGTTGAGTCTGACCTTGCGGGGTGGGGGAGGAATGACTGGGTGTGTGTGGCTGGAGTCGGCGTGGCCAGATCAACGTCACTCATGTTGATGGTGCCTGTGGTGGCCCAGGCGAGGCTGAGGGATCCATTGTCTCCAGCAGATGGTGCAGGCTGTCCAGAGCCCCAGGCAATGGAGGACAAGTACCCAGCCTGGCCCTCGAGTTCCCAGGGTACCGGGACCCCACAGCCCAGCCCAGCCCCGCTTTCCCAAGGGGGTACCTGGCTGCACTTACCTCCTTCTCAAGGCTGCTGCTGTTCTCGCTCTTCTTGGCCAGGTTGCTCATGGTGTATGCAGGGCGGCAAAGTGTGTGGGTCAGATGGAGGCCCACTCCCTCTCCATACAAGGGGACCCGGCTTTGTAACCAAAACATCCTCAGCGATAGGATGGGAGATCACCAGGAGAGATCAGGAGGAGGAGACAAAGAGAAGCGAAAGGGCAGCAGGGGTCCTGGTGGTCAAATGCTAAGGTAGAACTTCCCTCAGACCCTCCCTCTCATTATAATCTCCTCCCTCCCTCCCTTCCTTTTCCCCTTTTCTTCTTTTTCCTTCCCTCTTCACTCTCCTTTCTTATTCCTTCCCCTCTTTCCTTCTTTTTCCTTCCTTGATCTATTCCCATCTTTCCTTCTTTTTCTTTTTCCTTGTCTTTCCTCTTTCTCTTTCTCCTTCCTGTCCTTTCTTGGATGCAAAAGGGGAAACATTTCTCGATGCATTCTTGCCTTGTGATCAAATGCCACTTTTGCTAGTAGTTTGTTTTGCTAGAACTCTGTCAGCGAAAATGGAGCGATGGCCTACGATGGCCTCCTGCAACCCTCTGTCAGTGAAAACGGAGCCTGCACTGCTTTCCTGCAACCTTCTGCCAGCAAAAATGGAGCTCAGGAGGGCTGTACGCAGTCCTTCTGAACTCTGTTTTCACTGGCACAGGCACTGCGGGCTGGTCCACTGTTTGAAGGGCAACCTTGCGGACCAGATCTAACCACCCTGTGGGCCAGATCTGGCCCACAGGCCTTGAGTTTGACATCCTGCACTAGTGGAACATTATGTTTAGCCTTTGATATATATTATTGCCAAGTAGGAAAACTCTAAGGAATCTTAAGCCTGTAAATTGCTCCTTTGACTTCTGTTTAATTATCGATGGTATCTGGTAATACTATACATGTAGTAGAATGTTGCCCATGCACAATTTGCGTTGCATGTAACATATGATGGAAACATGCTTCAGCTGCCTTAGTGCCTTGCACTGAGACATTATGTGTCTAGTAACATAGGTCTCTATAAAGTATATCTCAGCACTATGGGAATGTCACATTTTACCTTGACTTGAATGAATTCACTGTCAATAATTCAGATTATCTAATCTATCTACTGGTAGTCCTCAATTTACTACCATAATTTATCCCAAAATTACCATTGTAAGTCATGGCTGTTGTTAAGTTGGTTGCCACCTGATTGTGCCCAATTTTATAACCTTTTTTGTACTGGTCAATAAGCAAAAACTGCAGTTGTTAAAAGAATGCTATAATTATTAAGCAGACAATGTAATTGTTAAGCCAATCCATTTTCTTCAAAGGCCGTTTTTGCTTAGAAATGGAAGTAAGCATCAGAAACCAGCAAAAACCACCAAAAATATTGGGTTGAAATTAATTTTGAGGAGGTTCATCATAACTTTGAAGAGTCACTAAGTGAGGATTACCTGTATTATAGAAGCTAACTAGATAAGTGTTCCCCATTTTTTACTTGCATTGTCTTCTTGGATCAGTTTTCTATAATCTCTTTAAATAATAGATTGTCTGGCATCACCAAGTCTCTGTGAAGAAGCTGCAATCTTCACCACTCTTATTGTGTGTGCTACATTCCCCTCAGCAGGGGAATCAGTGGTGGGTTTCTATTGGTTTGCCCCAGTTTGGGCGAACTGGTAGTGGCGGCGGTGGGAGGCTCCGCCCACCCACCCAGACGTCATCATGGACGCTCTGTGCATGCGCAGAAATTTCTGCGCATGCGCAGAACCTCTGCACGTGAATGCTCACAGTTCCAAACCGGTAGCAAAGGTAAGTGGAACCCACTACTGAGGGAAATATGTTTGTGAGGGCCCTATTTTATATTATTGAGTGCATGGTTTTCTTTTGCAGGTGATGAGCCTGTCTCCAGCACCACTTTCACTGTTAATCAAGGCAGCTCCCATCCTCACAGAAGAGATGTATGGGGACATCCAGCCTGCAGCATGGGAGTTGTTGCTCAGTATGGATGAACATATGGCTGGTGCAGCAGGTAAGAGGCTCCTTTCATATTCTAAAAATGCCCTCAAAAATGCAAAAATCCAATCCTAGGGAATTGGAGCTACCATAGTCATTTCACCCAGCATTGACTTCTGAGGATTTTCGATCTAATACTACAGAAATCTTCCTTTGATTTTGAGAACATTGCCTATGCAGCTTACATTTATATGTATTTCCACCTTGTCTTCTCTTCATGATATTTCCCTGCTTGAAATTCAAAGACAATTACCAGCTCCTTTTGTTATCAAGTCTGCTCATAAGCTTAATGTGTGCTTCCACCTCTCAGCTCTCAAGTACATCAGTAAAATAATAATGCTTCTAGATTTTAGGGAAAAAAGATGTTTCATGGAATATTTGCTTCCTGCAGCTGCCATGTTCCTTTTATGTGCTGTGAAAGTCCCAGAGGCAGTTTCAGATATGCTGATGTCTGAATTTCATCACTCGGAGGCAGTGCAAAGACTGAATGCCATTCTCAAGTTCCACACCCTCTGGAGATTTAGATATCAAGTATGGCCTCGCATGGAGGAAGGTGCTCAACAAATCTTTAAGGTGAACTATATACCACCTGATATATTTCCATATAGTAAGTATTATCACTATAGGACTTGAGTTAAGTGACACTTAGGTAATAGATATGTGTTGGAACCTAAATTTTCATAATATATTATGTTAATTCAAAATTTATAAAATACCATCCTGGCTTTCAAGTTTTCAAGAACTTTTTATCAAGTAAAATGATTAAACCAACAACAATAACAAAAACCCTCTCAACAATTATGAACAGAATCAAAAGGACAAGAGATGAAAATTTGAGTTCTGGTGTCTTGAATCAACTTCCACAGAATGAGGAAATAGCTTGATTGCAAACCAGATCCCTTGAGCTATAGAAATGATATTAGCCTGTGTCAAGAATTCACATGGCAATGCTCTTAATTCTTTTCTGGCCAAATATAAATAAATGGTCTGATGCTTTATCTCCCTAGATTGAAATCCTTATGAAAAATGGTTTATAAAATCTTTATGATTTTATCCCAAACTATGTGGTTCAAAATCTGCAGTCAACTTGTTACCAATAGATGAGAACATTTGAAGTTCAGGGTTGAACTGTGAGTTCTTGATACTGTCTGAGCTTTGTAATAAACTAGGTAATATCATCAATGCTAGAAGGGAATGAGGTTTGTTCTCTACTTATATACTAGAGGCTTGCCCTGTCAGTGTTGGTGGGAGTGTTCCTAGTGGTTCTTTGATTAGGCTGTTGTTTACTGTTAACTTATTTGTCTGAGTTTGTAGTTCTGTGATTGGGGTACTGTTTACTTCTTGATCACGGTCTAATATTAATCTTGGTGTTAATGTCTGCGTATTTGGGGGTTGTTTGCTGGTGAGGAGGTGTTTTGGTCTTTTTGTTTCATTTTTAGCTTTTTTATTGTCTCTTTTGAATGGTATGTAGATGTTATTTATCTTTCTGTGCCTCTTGATGACTGATCTGTCTGAATGCCAGGCTTCCAGGAATCCTCTAGCATTTTTTTAAAAAATAATTTTATTTATGTTTTTTTCTTTAACATCCAAAAGTACTTGGTGAACAGTGTATTGTCTGGGTCAATATACTTTGCATACAATTCTGATAATACTATTACCATTTAAATATACATAATTGTAACCTTTCAACTTCTAACATTTGTGTATACTTACCGGGAGTAATTATAATATGTTCTATTATATTTCAGTATACATAATACTATCTTCCCAATTTCTACTTTCTACTTCTTTTTTCTAACATTCTAACATCTCTTGCCCTTTTTAAAATTTCCACTCTTATTAGGTTTTTGGCGAATCTTTCATGCTTCTCCCAATGGACTGTGGAATGGTCTATAACTGAGTTGGATATAGTACAAACTGCCCAGAGACTGAGTCATAATTTTGCTGGCCACGCCCCCACTTGTGTCTGTTGGGCCCAGTTTTCAACTCAGTCATCTGACAGAGACACATTTCTACTATTGCTCCTGTTTCAATCCACTTCTGGACATTCTTGGACAGTCTTTGTATCAGGTTTTCCCCTGTATTCATTGCCCCTGATTGCAGTTTGTGCTGGCAGGTTCAGCTTGACTGACAGCACTGCCAAACGTTTGGAGCGGCCCGGGCCGCCACCCATGGGAATGATTCTCGTTCCTCCTCTGGCCATTGAGGCTATGTCGGACATAGATGCCGCCTGAACCCCTTTGGCTTCCGTGCTGCAATCTATCAGCAGGCATGGCCATTTTAAGCAGGCAGCCTTCACGTCGGCAGTTTTGCGCCTCGCTATCTGGTGGCACAATCAACGTTGGAGTTCAGGCTTACATGTCACCTCTTCGGGCAACGAGCTTCTGCAGCGCCCTTATCTGCCCGATCTCCTACCGACTATTACTTGTGGAGTGGACCCTGGCCTCAGAGAGTTGCGTTTCGATCTGCCCCTCCCCCCGCTTTCCCTCCGCTTAAACACTTGACGCGGCGGCAGTTTAAAAAGAACTGTCAGCCTCTGCCTTTACTGCTTTGGCTGCCATGGTAAGGGGAGGGAGAGGAGAGCTAGCATGAGGGGGAAGCGTGCTGAAGAAAAGAAACGAAAGTGAGACTTAAGCTACTGTGCTTTAGTCTTTGAAGCTGCTATTGGGTCAATGGTCGTGGCATTCCTGATTGATGACACTGCCAGATCAGTGGAGGTGTGCTCCCACCTGACCTCTGGGAGGCCTTTGGATTGGATGATTTACGATGGACAGTGGCAGGGAATGCTTTCCATCTGTAATTTTTGCGCTTTTGCCTCAGATTCTGCTTTCCTTTGGTTGCGATCACTTCAATTTTAAGTAAAAGTACCTTTCTCTATAAACCATGGAGTTGGGGTCATTCTTTCTTGAACTTTGAAGGAAGCACACCTGACATTAAGCAGAATCTCATTTCTCCAGCCATCCCGGATAACTACCAAGGGGGCTGAGCCCAAAGAATGTATGATCAAGAGAGTGATGGAGATCAGATGGGTGCTTCTGACTCTACGATGACTTCATTTCAAGCGGAAAAAGAAGTTGAGGAGTGGATGGAAAAAATTCAGTTGGGAGAGGAACCAGAGGAAGCCAGATGGTCAAGGGGAGTAGGAAGGTTGCCGGACCTGGAGAGGACCCCCCAAGGAGTAACCAGCTCCAGACCACATAAGGGAGAAGCTGCGTGGATGCAAGAGCAAAAGGAGAGCCTCATGATTACTCAGACTATGCAACTCCTCCGTGATGTCGAAGAAAGCCATAAAAGCCGTGAATCATATGTATTCCCTGGGGAGAAGGGAGGAGACTACCCCAGGGTGGATCCAAAGGAGGTTGCTTGTGGGGGAGAGGAAGAAGAAGCTGGGGAAGAAACAGCTCAAGCCTCTGGTACCCAAGCGAGGGATGCAGCAGCCCAGGGGCCCCCAGCATTGCAGGCTCCACCCTGGAGACGCAAAAAACCAAAAATTCCCCCCCTAACCGACAAGTATGGAGGAAATCCGAAAACCCTGGGGCTTTTCCTGACCCAGGTGTGGAACCACATGCAGGATTGGGGGGAGGACTACTTATCAGATGCGGCGCGAGTGAGATGTGTCACGAATGCCCTAGAGGGAGTGGCAGCTGAATGGATGGTGGTCCTCCACAATAACAACTCCCCCTTGCTGAGAAATTACAACCTATTCATGGGGGCTCTTAGAAGACGGTTTGAGGACCACCTAGCCGAACAGAAGGCAAGACTCCAAATGAAGGGTATTCAGCAGGGCCGGAGATCGGTGGCAGATACAACCAAGAGTTTCGTGAGCTGGCACCTTTCATGACAGGGTGGTCAGAGGTGGCCCTACTGGAGAATTATAAAGATGGGTTAAACGAAGACATCTACAAAGACTGTAGAGCACAGGGGGTCCCCGAAGATCTGCAGAGCTGGTACATAGTAGCTGAAGATGTGGAGATTGATCTGGCCTGAAGCTGACTCCGTGGGGCCCATGTAGGGGATCCGTCATCCTCCCACTACCGCAAAGGGGTGCCAAAGACAGCTGTGGGGAAAGCGGAGTTTAAGCCCAAGCCGAAGTCCTTCACGTACTTCAAATGTGGAAAGGAAGGGCGCTGGGCCGCGAAGTGTTTCTCCAAACCAGCACTGAAAGCCACCAGCTTGGGAGCCAAGAAGACCGACAAAGTGCCTGCAAAACCTTGAAACCTGCCACCCTGAAAGGAGAAGTCGTTGAGTTCACTCCCCGAAACTAGGGTGAGTTGGGAACTCTGACCATCGCAGACGACAGCGAGACTGACACTGACTCTGACAACGATGACCTGGTGAGTCACAAAGGGGGCCCCATGCTCATCCCAGTAGAAATAAGGGTGCCGGCCACTGGGGCACATGGGCAGATGTCAGCCTCCTAGACTCTGGGTGCACTAAATGCATAATCAGCCCAAAAGTGGTGGAGAAGATGGGCCTGAAGCTTAAAACATTAAAGAGGCCCATAGCCTTCTGTCAGTTAGATGGATCGATGGCAGGTGGGGGCCCAGCCAGTTTTGTGACCGAACCCATTGAGATGCAATTGGGGGATCATTTAGAGACTCTCAGTTTTATTGTGGCCCCTGGCATGGAGCGACCCCTCATACTTGGACTCCCTTGGCTCTGAAAATGGAATCCATGGATAACTGGAGGACGAGGGTTTTGCGCATTCATACTGAGAAGCCAGGGCTACAGAGGGAAGAACCCCCCCTGGAGGATGGTGTAGAAAACGAGGGAGCAGAAATGGCAGTAGACCACATTGAGGGGGAGGAGAAGATTCCTAAGGAGTATTGGGATCTGCGGGAGGTTTTCAGCAAAAAGGCCTCAGATGTGCTACCTCCCCACAGACCAACGGACTGTACCATTGAAATACTCCCTGGAGTAAAACTCCCTAAACCAAAAATCTACCTCATGACCCCTCGAGAACTGGGGCAACTATGGAAATTTATTGACAAGAACCTAGAAAGGGGGTTTATTCAACCAGCCAGGCCAAGAGTGGCAGCACCAGTACTGTTCCGGGAGAAGAAAGATGGCTCCTTTTGTTTGGTAGTTGATTATAGGAATTTAAATGCCATTTCCGTAGAAAATGTCTACCCCCTGCCGCTCATGAAACACATGCTAGCCCATCTAGGAAAGGGGAAACTTTTCACCAAGTTTGATTTACAAGAGGCACACTACAGAGTACGAATCAAGGAAGGAGATGAATGGAAAATGGCATTTAACTGTCCGCTGGGATGTTTCCAGTTTTGGGTGCTCCCTTTTGGACTACAAGGAGCTCCTGCTGTGTTCATGCAATTAATCAACAAAGTGCTGCATGAACACCTGTATAAAGGGGTGCTGGTCTATTTGGATGACATTCTTATCTACTCCGAGAACATGGATGACCATGTGAAATTGGTGCGGACTGTCCTGAAAAAGTTCAAGGCTGCTGAACTGTATGCCAAGCTCTCCAAGTGCGAATTCTACCAAAGCAAAATCGACTATCTTGGATACCGCATATCCCATGAGAGGATTGAGATGGACCCTGGAAAAGTCCG